TAAATTTTAAACCTAAATAAATCCTCACAAAGTATAGCTACTAGCGCCAGCTAGGCACATGGATAAGCTTTCTTTGGTGGGACGATAAATAAAAGAACTTATGACTCAACTGACGACCTAACATATTGCCTATAACTTGACATAATGTAAAAACAGGAATGCTGTTTGATAGCATTGCGTGAAGAACAATTCAAAAAAGGCCCTAACAAATAAAAGAAACTAGCGATTTCATATTCAGTAAGACAAAACTGACATTAAGGTTTGACGGTTCAGTGGCTCCTAAACAGGCAGAGCTTCATGCGTTTTCTTGTATTAGATGAGAGAAACCAAGATTACGCAAACACTTAATTTTCACAAGTAGCGTATTTATGGTAATAGCAAATGCGACAAAAATTTGGATCGAAAAATTTAGAATTACCGTTAAAGTATTTTGTGATGATTATTAACCCTGATAATTTTAGAGCATCCAATTTTTACTTAAATGACATCATGATCGTCACATTGACTACCCACTTGCCAGAAAACATTTACTCTCTTTAGTGGGAAGAGAAGACAAAGTTACGTAAAAACCGTCATTGACAACTTTACCGAACGTGTACATTTCACTTAAAGCTTGATCAAAATTATGAGCTATATACCAAATATTTGGCTATTTAGAGTTACACCTCAGCACAACCAATTTAATAATCACTGTGCATATTGCTACAGTAAATTCAGCTCAATGTTCGAGAAATGCTGAAAAATCCAAGAGAGGATTGTGGCATACAGTTTTTGCTTGGTTTGTGGATAGCAGATCTTATACATAACCTAAAATTACGAAGGCCAAAACTCCTGATGAAAGTATATCAAGCTGTGTTGCTGGAGAAGTGAGTGTGAACTAATAATACTAAAAGTGAGGCTCATGCGAGACCTCCGTAATTCAGAAGCGAGAGCTTTAGCTACTCAAAAGTAAACATCACAGGAACCTCTAAAGCACCCAATTGGTAGATCTGTCCACCCCTTTGCGCAGTAGCAATGCTCATTCACAATCGCTCAATTGGAGGCATGAGCTCTCTCTCGCAAGTGAGTGTGTTCCACGAGACTAATGCCAATGGATTATAAATTTGTATTTGATTAACGAATGGAAAAGTTTTTTGCTTGGTAAGTGCATTACATGCGACAATTGCGCTGCCAATGACCATACGAATACAGGTATTAACAACTCCACTTTTAAAGTGGAATTGCTACAGTCTTGCAAGGTTTCATCCAATGAGCAAAACTTTTTAAGATTCGAACACACGTGTTCACATCCTGTTTCATTTCAAGTCGCTGAATTTCGGATGAGTCGAAGTCACACTTGGTAGAGCAATCAAGGTCCCTTTACTACGATGAGAAAGCATGTGGCATAACACGTAAGGTTAAAAAATGTT